TTAATCAATAGCTAATGAATTCTGTCATACCTCCCGAAGAACTACTATTAATTATCTATTAATTAAGGTTCAAGAAAAATAACTATGAAGTAACTACTAATTAACAGTCATACACGGTATTCAGTTTGTCATTCTTCAGCACTAATAAGAAAAATAAGTGCAGACATTTACCTTAGGCTATGATTTGCAAATAAGCAAAAACATCTCATGTATATAACACCTTATTATTATACTTAGTTCTTATACATTTTAAACTTCTTTTGCACCATTCAAGTTCCGGCAATATGGCGGTAGCCACATACACTGAGCCTGGGTTCTCCCAAGGTTTTTTTCTCCATTCTGTCACCTGATGGAGTTTTGGTTCCTTGCCACTGTTGCCTTTTTCACTTCTCTTCGCCTTTGTCGCAAGTAACTGTCGTGTATTTTACAAAGATTTAGATGATTACGTTAATATATATATATGCTAATATTTTTTTTATTTACAGTAAGTTTGATTTGAGTCAGAAGTATGTGCTAATTCTTTATTAATTACTAATGGGTTCCCTATATTGTCACTTTAGAATACTGTTTCAGGTTCTAAGTAATTCCTGAAGGACTATCTAATAATTATTTATTAATTACTAATAAGTTCCTTATATTTTTACTTTAGAAGACTGTTTCAGGTTATAAGTAGCCTAATTCCTAGATAATTAATTTGATAATTATTTATTAATTACTAATGGGTTCCCTGTATTGTCACTTTAGAATACTGTTCCAGGTTTTAAGTAATTCCTGAAGAACTATTTAAAAGTTATTTATTAATTACTAATAAGTTCCTTATATTTTCACTTTAGAAGACTGTTTCAGGTTATAAGTAGCCTAATTCCTAGATAATTATTTGATAATTCTTTATTAATTACTAATGGGTTCCCTATATTTTCACTTTAGAATACTGTTCCAGCTTCTAAGTAATTCCTGCAGAATTATTTGATACTTATTTATTAATTACTAATAAGTTCTCTATATTTTCAGTTTCCCTCAGTCGTTGCCTCAAATACATGAATTTACTCAGTGGCATTCTATGCTGAGGAAAACAGACACACACAGTACTGTATATAAAATATACAAATAATCTGAGGTTAGTTTTGTATGACTGTTCAGTAGTTACTTCTTAGTTATTTTTCTTGAACCTTAATTAGTAGATAATTAGTAGTAGTTCTTCAGGAGGTATGACAGAATTCATTAGTTATTGATTAACTAACTGATACTTAACACAATCATAAAATTATATTACATACTGATTAGTTAACACATCTTCCTTAGTAGTTAACAGTAGTGAAGAAGTAGTTAATGAAGAATTACCTATTAGTTCGTCAATAATTCCTTATTAATTCTGCAGTAAGTAAGATACAGTATTCTAAAGTGTTACCCTTTTCAGTAATGTATCAAATACTGTGTGTTTTGTATTTCTAAACATTTATTTCACCTCGCCAGCCATTTTGGATTTCTTATTTTTTTTCAGTGAACCCATCATGGGATTGTATTCTGTGCGAAGGATGCAAGCAATCGAATTTGGAAAACTGTGTTTTTATGCGGAAGCATAATAATAACGCTTACATTCTACATTTTTTGCTATGATGCCTTAAAATACAGCGTATCTAGGCAGCTCACAAGTTCTTGGAACAGAGCACGTTAACACTACCAAATGCTCCACAACCAGAATTCTCTGCAATATAAATTAAAAAATACAGAGTCTGGTAGTGTTCTGCGGTTTATATTCAATATTTTATGTTAAATTTCCATCTGTAAGGGCCTTGTGGTTACACAAACTGTTGCGATTCATGTCTTCATCAGGTCAGGCATTGGCAACAGCCTCTATCAATTTTTAAACACAGCTCTGTGAGCTCACTTAATAGGTCCAAGGTTGCAGACCAGACTGTCATGGGTGTGGTGCAGGCTGAAGAAGAGGCAGAGTCAGAAGGCTCCAATTCAAACAGTTACAGGGATGATGGGCAGAAGGTTAACACACACACCATACAATGTAACATTAACAAGAACCGACAAGGACTAACAGAACAGACGGAAACTAAATGCAGACACAAATCAAACAATAAAGATGTGATCACAAAAGACAACGACGATGATGCCGATGAACAGGTGAGGGTAAATGAGGCAGTGAGTGCAGGAGTGGAGACGAAGGATTCTGGGAAGTGTAGTGCAGATGAAGACAGTATGGTGCAGACGATGCTTGTGACAAGTACATTTAAAGACCAATCATTTTGATCAGTTTTGACAGGACACATTTGTCTGTGTGTACATGTTTCCTTGAAAATGGCTCCTGCAAACATAAATATCATCCTAAAAAATTGTAACTTTATGTGTCAAAACCATAGACCTTTGGTTTACCTTCTTAGATAATCTTCAACACCAGGCACCGAAATTCACCTGCTACTATGTACAGCTATGTAAGATGTAAACGTTTCTTAGGTCAGGGTTAGTAATAACCAGCCTATTGTAGGTCTAATATTCATTAATGTAAAATTATTCTAAAATGTTAAAAATGTCTAATTGGTTAATCTTGAATTAACCTAACCACATGAATTAATCAACCGACATGCCACTTAAAAATGTGAGAGTTATTTATCAAGCGATGATAAGGAAACAGGGATCGTCACAGTGAAAAAAAGACTGTTGACCAAGTGAGAGGATGAGTAAGAGAGATAGTTGAAAGAAATGCAATTTATCTTCACCCTTTATCTTTTTAGACACCTATTCCTACAGTCTGATTGTCAAGGAACACTTTGTACACTTTGATCACTGGCTCAGCTTGTACCTGGGGACAATTTCCCTGCACTTCTCCATCTCATCTATGTTCCTTTTAACCACACATTCCTTCTCATGTCATTCCCTATCTAAGGGATATAGATCAACTTTTGACGTCCTTGTCTTCACATTTGCTCCTAAGAACCATTATTACGCACCTCCAGTCATTTTAGGTAATAACTCGTAAGAAATGGTTAGAGGATGGATAGAGTTCCTATGTGAATCAGTATTTTTGAATACATCAGTTGATTCAATGATTCATTCAATCATTATTGGATGGATTGTGGATGGATTATTGACCCAATTTTTCCCTAAAATCGGACAGGAGGAGCTCAAGGGCTGACTCACTGGCTAATTTCGGTTTCACTGCCCGACTGTCTGATTCACTGATACGAATGATCAGAGAGTAAATGGTTAATGCGTATTTGGTGTGCTATGTGGGTAGGAGGGCTCTGAGCTTGGAAATTGGGGACATCAGCCAATAGTGAGCCTATGTGTGACGTACAGCATAGAAGTTTTACGCAGTTTCACTACATGAGATCTTGAGGCCCACAGGGAAGGAAATTAATAGTTGAATAAAGTTCTTATTTATTTTTATTTTTTATTTTTTTATTCTCGTCGCTTGATAAACTTAAGATTGAGCCACTGTAGCCACTCAGACTATTTTAACAATGTCTTTCATAACTTTTGGGCCGGCCAGTTTCGATCCCTTAAGAAGCCTATGGAGGAGTGATCCAGCAAACAGATTTAATCAAAAATATCTTAATTTGTGTTCCAAAGATGAACGAAAGTCTCACGGGTTGGAACAACATGAGAGTGAGTAATAACTGGCAGAATTTTCAATTTTGGGTAAACTTACCCTTTAACCCTCTGTAGTCTGCTGTGTTTTCTGGGCCCTGGAGGTGTTTTGACATTGACTGACATTTGTGCTTATTTATGTTACTTATAAAATGTTCATAGCTAAAGTCTGATTACACTATATTCAGCGCAAATTCTGCTATAATAATATGTATATTACCTTTATTTAACAAGAAAGAAAACTCATTGAGATTAAAAATCTCTTTTCCAAGAGCGTCCTGGCCAAGATAGGCAGCAGCACAATTACATGAACATAAAACATATAACAATTTGTGCCGTTAAAAAATAGTGAGTTACAAGGTCATAAAAATCACAGGTTCATATCTATTTATCACAAGCGATAAACAACAGCAAGGATCGTCAGAATAGTCAAGCATAACATCTACAACCAGTTTGTGTAGCCTCCATGTCATTTAAAAGTAATATAAAATCAACACGCGAAACCGGCTCCTGAAGATTCAGGACATTTTGCAGCTGATTCCAAGCGCAGGGGGCCGCATACTTAAATGCCTCTTTTCCCAATTCAGTCCGGATTTGAGGTACAGATAACAATACTAAGTCCTCAGAACAAATACAATATCTTCCTATCCCTTTCCTTTTTATGTAAGATTGAAGATATGGGGGAAGCAGACCAAGAATAGCTTTATTAGATAGTGCCAATGATTAAGTATTTATTTATTTTTATTCATTTAGCTGACGCTTTTATCCAAAGTGACTTACAATTGCTATATATGTTAGAGGTCACACACCTCTGGAGCAACTAGGGATTAAGAGTCTTTCTCAGGGACACATTGGTGTCTCACAGTGGATTCGAACCCGAGTCTCTCACACCAAAGGCATGTGTCTTATCCTATGCACCATCACCACCCCCTTAATGACCAAGACTAAGACAAAGACTGAAATTAAAATGACGTAACCTGCTTAAATTATCAATGAAAAATCACCACCCAGAGAACAGACTGAAAGTTTTGTGGAATGCACGAACAAAACGCATGTTCGACTTGAAGCGGCGCTACTCAGACTGATCGATGTATCATATCAAAGTACCGAGAGCGATCAGAGAGCAGACGGCTCCGGGACGGGACGGCTCCGTATGCTTTTGACTAAAAGTCACTTTTTGAGCACTGTTCTGCCAATCAAATTTGAGGTCCGGAACTAAGTGTGGAAACAATTATGCAAAAATATTCATTGTACAAAACCAATTAAATAATTCCAAAACATCCGACCGCTCAATGCTGCACATGACCAATCAGGATCAAATATTCCAAAGAGCTGTTTGACACAAATTAGTCAACCAATTAGTCATTTTCGAAAATATGTGATATATTACCAGTACTCACCTCATTAGGTGACACAGTTAGAACGCTCCGGCTCTTCCTCATCTTCTCTGAAGTTTTCCTCGCCCTGTCTTGCACAGGCCTGCTCCGCTGACACTCCTGCACAAAACAACACACACACACAATCATTTCTCTCAGCAAAGACAAAAAAAAAAAAACAGAGGAAAGAAAAGACATTTGACATAGCTTGCTTGTGAGAGGTGCCTAAGTTTAAAGTTAAGATGGAGAGACTTTCTTTATTCATCTGTGAGTGATAGAGAGAGCAGAAGAGTTTGTCTGCAGTCTGACAGTGACAAGTATCTCTTAAACCCTTGGAGTAACCTCTTCATCAGCTTTTACACTCTACCCGTCTAAACTGACTTGCAAAAACAATTTAAAAAAAAGATCCCTGTACAGAGCCTGTTTTTTACATCCCTTGTGCATGATGCTGTAATAGCGAAAATGTAAATAAAAGTGTGTTGTATAAATGTTACGTTAGCGTTATCTCTTGCAATCACTTTCAAATGAGCCTGTTCTCTTTTAATTTGACAGTAAAAAGATGTTACCTATATTTTGATTTCCTTATTTGATTTATGTTATGCGGTTTCTTCCAAACAAAAATGATAACCAAGATATAAATGCTTCGCAATATCATCATTCTTTCTATCCCATACAAATTAAAACCTCTTAAGAAGCACCGGCCCGTGGGCGGGCCACCCGAAGTGGGTATACTTTTATTACCTTTTTTAAGCTTTGTTTTATAACAAATATTCAACTGACTATCATAAACTATGCATCAAAGTGAATTTTGCATAATATGTGCCCTTTAAGTTCAATAAGTTCTTTTCAATCCGTCAGCCACTTCTGTGCCAAGCTCAATCCTCAGCCAATGAATACGACGGACAGTCCAGCCCGCAGGGAATTTGGAATTTGGCAGCTGCCTCTCAACAGCTGAAAGCCTGAAAAGACTCCATAACCACTTTCTATTGATTTGACCTCTACTTTCTTACCTTGTCTGCTTTATGTGCTTTCAGCTGCCTGGTCATACTGACATTTTAACCAGAGATTTAAATGCCCTGTCGGGTCTCTGTAAGAGCTCATGTTAACATGTTGCCTCTGTCACTGACTTCATGGTGAATATGTAGCGTGTAAAGTAGTCTCTGGCCGTATGTGTGTCTTTTATATGACAATCACTCATCCTTCATCAAGGATTCTCACGCTGCGTCAAGGATTGCATCCCGAAGCATGTGTGAAATCAGTCCAATGGTGTGACGGGACTTTATGACCAGGAAGCTATAAAGCGCACCCAGACTACACAATGTCAGCTTTTGATAGTCTGAAGCAAGTCAATCACAGGCCCGCCGGAAATATGGCTAGGTGACGCAGCATCTCGTTACCTTTTCAGGGAACAAAGGTTACAGTAACCGAGTCATTTTCCAAGAATATTACAGGCAGATCGATTTTTTTAAATGACCCACCAATTCTACATTAAATCAATATTTCATTGTGTTGCTGAAATTTGTTAATGTTTTCCAATTTAGGATTTGTTCAATATCAGTATTGATTAGTATTTAGTATTGATTATTAGTTTACAAAAAAAAAATACTTCACACAACAATGGAAACACATTTCATCCCCAGCGTAAAAAAAAAAAATAAAATAATAATGAAACGGTTAATTATGAAAAAATAAATCACATTGTGAAATATAAAATCGCAATGTGAGACTTAAAATGAGAAACTAAGGTGTAATTATGAGACATAAAATAATTTTTATGAGAAACAAAATCAAATTTGAGATGAAAAAAATCTTAATTACAAGAAATAAAATCACATTTAAGGGAGACATATTTCATGATATTAATATCTTAAAGGTCTAAAGTGGTCTACAGTCTACATTTCAACTAGACTGTTATCAGAAACTCTTGACATAAAACTCTTGACATAAAAAAACCTATCCATTTAAAGAATAGATGCACATTCACTGTGCCATCAGAAAAAAAAAAAAAAAAAACCATCAGCTCCACAGACAATTCACAGGCTGAGGGCCTAATTACCTATTTACCTATTCACCTCTCCCCATTCAAAGAGTAAATGAATGATAAATGTGTTCTAATATAATACTGCTGCTGCAATCCGCACAATCACCAGCACACAAAAGACATTGTGCGAGTCACTGCCAGCTAAATTACCATTCCCATTAAATCAATATACGCCCCCCTACTAATTACAAAGCCTTGTACAGATGCAGCATGAATATGTCAGTATACAGTATGTGGATCTCAAATCCTGTTTTCCTTCACATTGTATCTTCCCCCATAGACCTTGAACTCAAATTGTTTGTTCTCTGGTTTAATAAAAATAAATGCATTTTGCATGGATTCCTGTTTTAGTCATTGTATTCATATTCAAGTAAACAACAAACTTTTAATCATTTTCGTTTACTATGCGGCTACATTACATAACTTGCATTTATTTATTTAGTCTTCTCAAACATCTTAGACCTTTTTCCTTGCCACTATTTTTTGTAAAGCTGCTTTAGAATAATACGCAAAGCACTTTACAAATAAATTGAATGGAATACTAAAAGATTTAGTTTTTCTTCAACCTAAAAGTCAAGTTTGTTGTTATGCTCTTCTTTGCTACCACGTTGAGTTTTTAACAGTATTACACGCACTGACGAGTCTATTCGCATTAGACAATAACATAAAAGGGTTATATTATTTGAGACGTCCTCTGGGCAACAATCTGGTCCCACTGCTGTCGTTTTGTTGTTCTTCTGTGAAAGGCTCTGACATCCTGATAATAATTACTGTGACTAAAGCTCTTCTTTTGCCAGATGTTTTGACATCTGACAGACAGCAAGTATAATGCCCCTTCAAGCAAAAATACATATTCTACATATTAAGACAGAATGTTTCAGTGGTTAAACACAATTAGTTACAGTCCATTTGCATGCAGCAGAACTAGTGACAACACTGATAAAAAAACAACAACAACTTGTCTCTAGGAGACAATGTTCAAGTATTCATTGTTACCATTATTACATTATAAAACACATATAAACAATATAAGCCAATCAGAAAAACAATGTTTTGCATCATAGACCATTAAATAAACCCTGTCGTCTGGTACATCCCAGTTGAGTTTGGCATTATACTGTGCTCGATTTGTTGTTTTGTGGAGGTACCTACTACTCATAAAATGAACGTCATCAAATTCCAGCAGGATTTACTTTAAACAAAATATTCAATTTGGGACATTGCCAAGCTGGAGCTGTTTCTAAATGACATTTTTTGTGAGTCATTGATCAGTTGGCCAATCATTGTGTGAAAGTTGAGAAATATCAAAATATACTTCTCGGAATAGATGAGGGTTAAAGGAACACTCCACCATTTTTTGAAATAGGGCTTATTCACAGTGTCCCCTACATTAAAATAGTTTGGCAAACGCATTTTTTTCAAAGTGCATGCATTGCAAGGGGGTAATCCATCAGCCCATTCATTTTGGCTTCACTTTGACAGTGAATAACTTTACATCTGAGGTGTAGTATAAAACGCTCCATTAGGGATATTCAAATTAAATGACCCATCATACCATTGATCAGCTCTACCAATCTTGATTGTCTTTTTTCATGAATAAACAAACACTGTTATGTTGTCTTGATACTGTGAAGCAGCTTTGATACAATCTGTATTGTGAAAAGCGCTATATAAATATATTTGACTGACTGACTGACTGACTGACATTGCTTTGTATCTTACATATGTCGTTTTTGTGAAAAGTAGGCTAACGATTGCATCATCACTCCGCAACTTTCTGTCGCACAATAGACAGGAGGAGAAGCTCGCAGGCAATCTTTTACTGTCTATGAGGCACTCAGGGGGGCATGAAGGCACAAAGTCAAGGAAGAAGCCTTTTACTGTCTATGGGAGCTAGATAGCCCATAGATAGAGAGTCCATAAAGCAATGGGACAATTTACAATTGTCAGACTGTCGTCACGCTCAGTTTGAGCGTGCGCAGTCGCTGAGACATCAGACAGGAAGTGCAAAAATCGGGCTTCAAGTCTTCTCCGTTGAAATCAATGGGGTCGCTCTGTCCATTTTTTTACTGTCTATGATGCATTGTCGTAGTTTGGCAGCACCGACGCTAGCTTAGCTTAGCATAATGAATGCAATCCTATGTTGCCAAGTAGCATGTCATGAGTAAAAGTGATTAAATAAAGCAAAAAAACAAACTTAATTACTTCTTGTGGCCTGTGTATTCACAACGAGTACAAATATGATTTCAAATTAAGACTAGGCAATTAAATAGGCAGATATTGATTTGGGGCTATATTAGGGTGAATCACAGGCGAAACACTGCTACTTGGGCGCAGTCATATCACACAACACCTGAAATACCCCAACTTCCCTCAACATCACGGCGTGAATATTAGCTGGCTATTACGACAGTAGACATAGTGAATGGTGATTGACATGGGGGATTTTTTTGTGAGACCAAGATGGTGACTTCTCAGACAGTCAAGATCCAGAACCATACCTCTACGAACCAGAGTTTTCAGAAGAGGAGCTGCGTGCAATAGAAATCCTCAACATCCTCCAAGCATTAGTTCATAGCATAAGTCTTTACATGCAAAATGGCGGAGCAAATTGTCATATTATGTTTATATTTTTATGTAGCATTACATCTCCATTAGACTTTTTTTCTAAATCTGTCCTGTTCACATACTGTATCTACTTTTGTTTTTTCTCTTTTTTTCCTTTGTGCTATGCAGTGCTGTCTGTTCCTTTCTGAACTGCAATGACATGGTTTGTCAACAAATCACAGTACAAGCAGTCAAAGCTTAAATGTGAATCTAGTTCAGTTTCTTGCAATCAAACGCCCCCATACACTAAGGTGTAACCTACAATTTACAATAATTATCATCAAAACTTTAGCCATAGTCTACATTAGAACATCCTCCAGAGTACACTGTTATATTGACAACATGACTAAGCAATTATCCGTACACAATGACACAAGGACTTGTCATTCTGATGGCACTGACATGTTCATTGACACAGATGTTTAATTTTGAGAGATGAACTAAGCATTTTGAGCAAGAGATAGACTTTTGC